GTCTGTGTATCTCAAGTTCTGCTGAACCGATTTTGATGAAATTTTATATGTAAGTTTATTTCCACCATGGCACGGATCGATCAACTTTTGGGATATATCAGGCCTCGGGAACTGCACTTTTTAGCGGGTCTGTTTTACATTTTTGAACTTTTTGAAGAAAGTATTCAACCGATTTTCTTGAAATTTTATATATAAGCTTTGCTCGACCGTTCGCGTAAATTCCTATGTTTTGGAGGAAATCAGGCATCGGTAACTAGACGTTTACTACGGGCCAAATATACATTTTTGTGTATATAAGGAGAAATAATCAACCGATTTCATTGAAATTTAATATAAGAATTCCTCGTATTAAAGCAATGAACATATAAATTTTTTGGAAAGATCAGTGCTCGAAAACTGATTTGCGGGCGGATTTTACATTTTTCACCATTTTGAAGAAAATATTCAACCGATTTATTTGAAATTTCATATATGAACTTTGCACGACCATCCGCAAAAATTCCTAACTTTTGGAAGAAATCAGGCATCAGCAACTGGACGTTTACTACGGGCCAAATATACATTTTTGTGTATATAAAGAAAAATAATCAACCGATTTCATCGAAATTTAATATTTGAATTCCTCGTATTAAAATAATGAACAAATAAATTTTCTGGAAAGAACAGGGCCGATTTTACATTTTTCACCATATCTACGGAACGAATTGATGGAGTTTCTTGAAATTTGATATTTGAGTTTTGGTTATTACCAAAACTAACAGGTTGGCATTTCAGGAAATTCGGGTAGCACAAAGCGAAACTCTACTAAGAGCCAAATTTACATTTTTCTAAGTATGTTAACTATAAGCTTACTAATGTCCTAAAAATTGGAAAGAAGTATTTAACAGACATTTTTTTAATATTCTGTAACACTTTCACTCAACTAAACAATACACAATGCGGTCGCTTATGTGCTGACCACATCAGATTTTTTTTTAAAACTGTTGGTGAACATAGAATTAAATTTTTCACATAAATAAAAGGCTTAGGCAAAAAGAAAATAATAATTGTATTCAAATATATGTATGTACATATGAATGTATTAAAATTTAGTATTTTAATAACATGGAATTAAATTTTTCACATAAATAAAAGGCTTAGGCAAAAAGAAAATAATAATTGTTGCTTGGAACAATAAAAATAAAATTCTAACTATGTACGTACACATATTCTGTATGTAAATTTTTTTAAAGCTTGAACAAATGAAGCATTAATATTAAGATGCCAGAAAACACCTGATGTCTCATAAAAGCTGACATTTATTTACGTTAAGATTGTTTCGATTTTTCAGAAAATATGTGTTTTATTAGTACTCTAGAGACATTCTTTCAAACATTCCAGGGAGTCCCAGTGCACCCTAATAGATAAAGTACCAGATACATACTAAATTAATAATTCAAATTCATAGTAATCTTTCTCTAATAACCAGTTTTAACATAATTTAGAAAATTTGTTCAATAAACTTGATGATCGAATGTCGGAGGAAATAGCATTTTAATACTTGGAGTCAGGTGGTCATAAAATTTTTGGAGTGAGCTAGTCTACCGAATGGAATATGTACAAAATTTCAATTATTTGAAGCATTACTCAAGCATTTATAGGCATACAGATGTCTTACCGGTAGAATTCTTGAATCTTGAAATAATGGCCAACTGCTAAACAGTCTATTTTTACCAAAAATAATTTTCAAAATATGTTTTTAACAGGCTTCAATGTATTAAAATAAGTACCTCTCCAACATATAATTCAATATTAAAGTTTTGAGTGGACTAAAGCATAGTAAATTTTTAAAAGCAGTTGTATAGAACACATTTTTTTTAAAACGTAAAAAGTATGAATGCACAGTGGCATATAATTATAAATTTGATTAATATGAGCTTTCCAATTCAAATTATTATCAATCAAGACACTTAAATATTTGTATTGACTTGTGTTTATAATTTGGGCATACATATACTTGGCACTCAGCAGAATGAAAACTGAAAATTGTGTTATCAGATAGAGTAATCTCCCTGTCATTGAGTTTGAATATCATTAGTTTGGTTTTATTACTTATTGTAAGCCTATGTTTGTTAAACCAACCTAAGTAAGCATACATCTAATACAATGCTTTTTTGTAACTCGTTAGCAGATACTGCACCATACGAAAGAGTTCAAATAGTGAGTTTGTGAAAATTAAAAACAAATAAAGTTGGGTCAAACCAATGGTTTGTATTGTAGCACTTTTCCCTTCAACAAGTGAAAATTCTGCTTTTAAATACAGTCTATGTATACCTATCAAACTATTAAAATTATTTTCATTCATATACAAAACTATTTCTAGGATTGCATATAGTTAGGATGATACATACATGCAGTCTTTGAAATAAAGCAAAAATTAATATAAAGAGGGGTTAACATAATGCTCGATTTTAAGGGTTAATTGTGTGAGTTAAGAGAAATAATTATATTTTTTAATTTCATGGAATTTACCGTTAGCTTTTTGCGTTTATAAAAATTTGGAAAAGCTTGCGGTTTCGGAAATATAAGGTGTCAAAAATTCAAATTTTACAAATTTCAAGAGGTGATAACTTGAGAGGGGGTGGAGATGGAAAAAAATTTTCTTCTAACGAAATGAACTATTTGTTAATGTCTAAAAGCTCCTAAAATTTCAAGCTTCTACAGGCTGGGGTCTAGAAGAAAAATGACATCAAAAATTTGGAAAAAAAGGACTTTAGATAATAGTAAATTTGAACGGCCATTTTGTTTTTATAAAGTTTAACTATAGTATATCGCGCTAGGGGAAGCAAGCCACTGCCTTTCTGCGTTTGCAAAATTTCAAAAATGCTTATGGTTTCATTGCAACAAATATTTAAAAAAGGCCATTTTTAGGGTTTTGGGGGGGTATAACTTCTAGAGGGGGGGAGATAGGTAAAAATTTTGTTCTACGGAAATAAGTTTCTAGTAAAGATCTATGTACGTATGAAATTTCAGCTTTCTATCTTAAAGGACAGAGTTCACTTTTTTCAAAAAATTTTTTGGAAAAGTGCTAAAAAGGCCCCAAAACTGACCCTTGTGGAACACCAATGTTTATTAATTGAACGTCGCTAAAAATACCGTCAATTTTTACTTTTTGAACTCTATCTGACAGATAAGAAGTAAGAAAATCTAACATCAAATCTTTGAAGCCAATTTTTTCCAATCTTTTTAAAAGTATATTGTGATCTATAGAATCGAAAGTAATTTTAATAACTATGAAGAGTGCCGCTGTGTGGCGATTATTATTCAGACTAGAGTAAAGTTCGGAACATAATTTTAGAATTGCATCCTCAGCGCACTTCTCCCTTAAAAAGCCGAAATGTTTATTATCGAAGAAATCTATATATGTAAGAAAATCTAGCATTCTTTCCTTTATTAATTTTTTCAAATACCTTACTTAAGCGAGATAACAAGGAAATAGGTCTATAATTATATATGTCAGTCCTCAAACCCTTCTTAAAGAGGGGTATTACTTCGGCACTTTTGAGAGCAAAAGGGAAGCTACCACTATATAATGCCAAACTAAATATATAGCAGAGAACCTGACTAACTAAAGACGCAATCTTCTTAAGTAGTAAATTAGAAATGCCATCACTATTGCATGAATTCTTGTTGTTTAAAGTCATAATGCACCTACAAAACTCTTTAGGCAAAATATCTACAAAACCAATGTAATATGTATAATATGTAATATAGTAATATGTATTAAAATGCATATTACTATTCAAAATATCATTAGACATATTATTGCTAAAATTCGCTTATAACTTCATTAAAAATTCCTGCTGGGTCAACAAAGTAATTATTGAATTCGTTGACTATTTGTTTTTTGTCAACTATATTTTGCTTATTGATCACAATTTCATTAATTTGAAGATATATATTGTCTTTATTATTCACTACCTTCCATTCCACTTTAGAGTTGCGCTGTGTTTAGATAACTCGGAAGAATAATAACTGTCACTCAATGCTTTTACCTCAATTCTTATTTTCTTATTTAAATCTTTAAAATATACTTTTAACTCGCTATCATGTGGCTTTTTTCTATATTTCAAACCAATTTTGTCAATATATCTTATTTTATTTAATAGTTCGTCAGTCATCCATGGTTTGATTTTTTTTTAGCTACCTTTTTTGATAACACCACAGAACACTTTGCGATATGTGAATTTGATAACGATTTGAAATGAAATTGAGGGATCAGAATTATTGAGAACTCTCTACCAGTTTTCGTTTTCTAACTTATTATTTAGCTTAGTATAATTAATAACTCTATTTACACTCCTAAGTTCCTGATTTTGAAAATTTTTTAACGAAGTTAATCCTAAATAATTTAACGTGATCATATTATGATTAGTTATACCTAAATTTTAATTATCAGCGAAAAAGTTTAAGTTATTGCAATTACTTTGTAACCTAATAAAAATATGATAAATAAACGGGCTCGAAGTATTGGTAATACAAGTTGGTCACTCTATTAAAGGCAATAACCGACGAGATGACATAATACGTAAATAATTTTTTGTACGCGACGTTATGTACAATCCCGAATTTAATATAAAAAAATAATTTATTATTTTTTTCTTTGTTTATTATTTTAAAATTATTTTTGTTATAAATCATTAATTTTGTTATAAATCATTAGCGTGCTCCAACATGGCTTCCAAGAAGTTCTTGGAGGACACGCTGCCGAAGCATCTGGGAGGGGGTCAAACTAAGAGCTATCCCTAGGTCCGATGTTGGCAGGTACCGGAGGGCGAAGGCGTGGCTGTGGGTACCGAAACCCTACGTTGCAGTGGAGAAGGTCCTCAGGCTACTGATTGCACAGAATCGGGAGCTTGGGGCTGAGGACTGGACTCTGGTTAGGGAGAAGCCTTGGAAGAAAACTGGACAACACTTCCTTCTGAGCATAAATAGGAAATCGGTGCCCTATATAGAGAAAAATGGCGTATGGTATTGGTAAGTATGGTTCAGCTTATCCAAGGTGATGCTTAGGATTGTTGGGGCGGGCAGTTTGGGAGATTGAGGTAATCCAAGTCAACCTCCATCGCAGTAGGGCCGCTACTGGCAATCTTGTGGGGTACATGAGCGCTAATGACATCCACATTGCGCTCATTCAGCAGCTGGGGTTGGTTACAAAGGGGAGAATACGGGGCCTGAGGCTTAAGGACTATGTCGTGTATTACAGAATCGGAGTAAGTAGACAGAGATCTTGTATTTTCGCCAGAAGGAACTAAAACTTTTTCTTTTAGATAACTTTTCTGATGGTGATACAACTGTGGTGAGGTGGGAGAGGAAGAAGAAGGATTTGCCTCTTATTCTGATCTCATGTTGTATGCCCTACGACAGCGAGGCAGAGCCGCCGCCGGAAAAATTCAGACAGGCTATCAGGATGTGGAGACACGATGTACTGATTGGATGTGATGCGCATGCGCACCACACTCTATGGGGAAGCTCGAATGTTAATCAGCGAGGTGAGTCTTTAGTAAATTTTCTTAGTAGTACTAACCTTTGTGTATGTAATAGGAGTTGCGACTCTCCTTTCGTCGTTAGGAATAGGAGTGAAGTGCTAGACCTTACTTTGGCTACTAATTTGGGGACCTTAATGGCCAGTAACTGGATGGTATCGGAGAAGTCTTCCCCCTTGGACCATTGCTGGATTCGTTCTAGGATAACTTTACAACTGGAGATGAGGGCGCCATTTAAGAACTCTCAAAGGGCTAATTGGGATGGGTACTCGGCGGCCCTAGAATCTGAAATGGCTAGGCGGGTACAAGAACTGATAAGAAGAGGTAAGTCGATTGACAGTGCAGTTGAGTGCCTGAGTGCGGTTATGAGGGAGGCCTTCGAGGCCAATTGTCCCATTAGCCATCCTGCAAAGTGTGGTAGACCACCATGATGGTGTAAAGAAATTAGTGAATCCAGGAGGAAAGTAAGGAGCCTACATAATTTGGCGAAGCGGGGTAGCAGCCCATCCATGTGGGATGAATATAAGAAGGAACTGAGGGCTTTTAAGTACACAATAAGTAAGGCCAAACGGGGGTCTTGGAGGAGTTATTCCACGTCATTGAAATATACCAATGAGGTTGCAAGATTAAGGAAACTACTATCGGGGGGCCCCTGGTACCTGGTTTTGTTAAAAGAGATGATGGTACTTGGGCTGGCTCTAGTATAGAGATGCTGGAGGAGCTGATGGGGGTTCACTTTCCGGAATCAATTTCCGATGGAACAGGAAGAGCTAAAGCGAGAGGGGCCCCGAGAAGAGGAACGGAGGGCGTACGAGTTTTGGGTAAAGAGATTTTTACGGGGTAGAGAATACAGTGGACTATTAAGTTTTTTGGCCAATACAAGTCTCGGGGAACGGATGGGGGGTGGCCTATTATGCTGCAGAGGGCACCGAGAGTGATCATTCTTTGGTTGATGGTAATTTTTCGTAGCTGCCTGTATATGGGGTATGTCTCTAGAGAATGGAGAGATGTAAGGACGGTTTTTGTGCCGAAGCCTGGTAGGAATAGTCATGTCAGCGCGAGGGGTTTCCAGCCAATCAGCTTGTCGTCTTTTGAAGTATATATTAGCTGCTCCGCCTATGTCGGTCCCAAGCCCGAATGTGAAAGGAGGAGGGGGAGGAGTAACAACCTCGTTAAAAAACCTAGGTTCAGCTGGCCCGGCTGATAGCACCTTGTAAGGGCTCCTGATGAGGATTACACAAATCCAGAAATGACTGATCCAGAATGGACGGCTCCCTGGTCTGCGTCTGATCCCAGAGGGACGGCAGTAAAAACAGAAGGAAAACTATAAACCCTTTAGAAAGCAACGGGAAACTACTAAAGTAACAATCCCTAGAAAGTACCTATGATCAACAACGAAGAAGTAACATGGCTCTCAGTCTCCGGCAGTAAGAGGGTGCTAAGAATCCCCGGAGGTAAAACTAATAAAAACAAAGCGAAAGACATCTGTACTGCAACCTGGAATATCAGAAGCATATATCAGGCTGGTAAGCTTGCCAACACAGTAAATGAAATGAAAAGATTGAACATCGACATCTTAGGAATATCTGAAACATGGTGGGCGGGATCAGGCGAATGTGTAACCAACGGACCAAAATTATACCACTCAGGCAATGAAACCGATGCTCACAGAAGAGGTGTAGGAGTAATAATTCCGCAACACTTAACCAATTGCGTAACCAATTTTATGCCAGAGTCAGATAGAGTGATGTTGTTGAAAATTAATGCAAAACCGTTGACATTAAATATTATCCAGGTATATGCGCCTACATTTGATAAGTCTGAGGAAGAGGTAGAAGATTTCTATGCAGAAGTCACCAAAGTATTGAAATTAACAAGACGCCATGAGTTGAACATAATTATGGGAGATTTCAACGCGAAAGTTGGTGATGAAAAAGTAGAAAATGTTTGCGGTAATTTCGGACTGGGTGTGAGAAATTGCAGAGGTGATAGACTTGTTCAATATTGTCAGGAACAAAACTTAAGAATAATGAACACATACTTCAAATTACCACCACGCAGATTATACACCTGGAAATCTCCTCAAGACTCAATTAGCCACATTGTACGAAATCAAATTGATTTCATATTAATTAACAATAGATTTTGCACATCAGTTAAAGGAGCTAGAACTTATCCTGGAGCAGATGTACCGAAGGATCATAATTTATTACTAGCTGAAATTAAATCTAAACTCGTTGCGAAACCCAAGGTTCCACAACAGGTGAGGTTAAATCTAGATAGGTTGAAAAACGAAAATATCAGAGCTAGAGCTGCTGCAAAGATAAATGATCAATTACGGAACATAGAAACAGAAAAAGATACGCAATCTATATGGAATCAAACGAAAATGGTGCTGAACAATGTTGGCAAAGAAAATTTAGGTACCAAAAAATATACGGCAAAACGAAATTGGATTACAGAAGAGATTTTGATGTTAATGGAACAACGAAGATCGCACAGAAATAAAAATACAAGCGAATATAAGAGGATTAACAGAATTATTCGTATCAAAATCAGACAGGCTAAGATCACATGGTTACAGCAAGAATGTGGAGAAATAGAAAGATTGCAGCACCAAAATGACGCGGAGACGCGGTCTTTCTGTGAACCCCGTAAAAACTGAGCTGGCATTGTTCACGAGGAAAAGGAAGGGGGCCAGGTTTGCTCTGCCTAGGATGGCAGGAGTGGAACTGGGTTTGGCAGTTTGTGCGCGATATCTGGGAGTGATTATGGATAGTAAGCTGCTGTGGAGGGAAAACATAGAGAATAGGGTAAGGAGTCAACGAGTGCGTTGTTTGCCTGCAAGGGGGCGGCTGGTAGACATTGGGGAGTGAGTCCTCGACTGGTCTACTGGTTGTATGAGAATGTGGTTAGGCCTATTCTGATGTATGGCCCATTGGTCTGGTGGCCAGCGGTGCCACAGGATAGGTGCATTGAGTACTACGCCCACTTTGGGTTTGGAGATTCCTGGATCCGGTAGTTTGGGGGATGACCTGGATCCGGTAGGTGAGCAGGTGAAAGTGGCGGCTGCGAGGAGTGCCTTGAGGTTACAGGCGATGAGCATACTTAAAAACAGGGAATACACAGACAGTAGAATTCTAAGGGAATATGGAATACGGCCTATGGACATTAGGCATGATTTTGTGGTGCCATATACCGATTGAAGGGTTGATTATGGGGTTGTGGTTCGACAAAGGGAGGATTGGAGTGTGGGGGTATTATGCACGCATGAGAGGTTATCCATCTACACGGATGGTTCTAGGACAATGGGTGGTACGGGCGCCGGGGTCTTCACCGAGGAGTTGGGGATAGAGCTACCGATTAGGCTGCCTGATGGATGTGGGGTCTTCCAGGCAGAGATTTAGGCGGTGACTGTGTGCTGGGTTCCCGGTCACAGCTTACGAGGTAATGAGATGGCAAATCGTCTTGCGAAGGCTGGGGCTGGCGGAGATGCTAACATGGTAGTCACGTCGGTTCATTTGTCGCTGAGGGCTTAATTTGGCCTCATAGTTGGTGAGTGGGATCTTGTGGGCGGAGGCTCACACGTGTAGGGTGATCAGGGCAATATAGCCTATCAGGGACGAAAGGAGGTCCAGGATGCTGTTGAGATATAATAGAGCTGATCTCAGCACAGTGGTGGGGGTCCTGACGGGGCATTGCCTTTTGGGGAAAATGACCAGGAGGCTTGGGGTTGCTATGACGGATGTATATCGTAGATGTCGATATGTGGCGGAGGGGGAGGATGTAGAGCATGTCCTCTGTGCCTGTTCGTTTCTGATGTGTAAGAGAAGGCGTGTCTTGGGGGCTTATTTTTACGATGGCCTTGGGGACCTACCGGGGTGTGTCTTGCGCGGCCTTTGGACTTCGCCAGGTAGGTTGGGTGGTTTGGATAGGGGGTTTTGTGTGTCGAACTGCATGGGGGTTGTTGGGTGTTGAGTGTTTGGGGGGTTCCCGATGGGCCTTTTTCTGTTGGTGTAGTGCATGGACTTTGCGCGGATGTACGGATGGAGCCCCGCTTTCTTACTTACTTACTTTTCTTAATATTATAACTGAACTTAACTGATGCTTATTCTAAACATACATTTTTATACTTTTCCTTCTTAATACTAATCTTTGTTTTTATTTATCTTTTTACAAATATTTATTGTTAATCATTAAAATGTAATTAGACAAAGACTGTACAAAATATTAGTCTTTATCTAATTGTAAATAACAGAGAACAGAGATGTTTCTTTTATAGTTATCTTTTATGCAAACATGTCGATTCTTGTTTTATGTTAGAGAGGCAGATTTCACATTTTTTTTTGTTCTCTTTGTTATTATTTTATATAACTCACGCGATACTTTAAGGAGGTCAATATTTATGTCTCCAATTACTACAAGATTTTTATTTTTTCCAGAATTCAAAACATCATCAAAATCATTTAAAAAGGTAGAAAAGTTGAAACCCGAGTTATGGAGTTTATATGCACAGAATATTATAAAATTTATATTTTCGATTGTACATGAAATTTTGACAATATCGGCTGTATCGGAATGAATAGAAATACACGTGGTCGATAATTTAGTATGTGTATACACAGCAACACCACCTGCTGCATAACCATCATTACAGTTACAGTGTAAGTTATAGCCGCCTATATTATAATCACTTTGTTCATCACCATAAATCCAAATTTCGGTTGGAACAACCATTAAAGGTAAATCATTCAGCGTTCCAAGGAACGTATCAAAATTTTCTCTTAAACTACGTATATTTTGGTGCAAAATTATAAATTTGTCTGGAGATAGATTGGTTGAAGGAGAGAAGTAAATTGATTAAACTAAAATTAAAAATTAAAGGCTAATATAACCCTATCTCCTTCACTTTTTCTCACCAAAATTTTTCCATTTTTTATCCAAAAAAATTTAAATAAAATTTGTTTTCTTAAATTTCTAGCAGTTTTAAAAATTATCCGTTTTTTATTAGTTAAACTATAATTAATAAGTATATTATTACCTTGATATTGTACTTCATGTTTGAGCTCTTTTTTTTCTTTAGGACGTCTGATTTAATTTCACTCGAAGAAAAATTGATTCTCACTATATTCGTTGATCTATTGTTTTTTTCCATTATCTTTTCCTCGGGTTTTTCATGAACTACAATTGGCAATATCCTGGCTTTTTAACGAAATGTCAAGGCTTTTTTTTAATATTTCGACTGCTGTGTGGACCGTATCAAAATTCTCTAGATCAGGAACATTCACTAAATCTAGAGAATTGTCCAGGGTGCATTGCTCCATATCATCTACTTTATTTTCCAGTTCTTGTACTTGAGTTCTCAACATAGAATTTTCCTTTTCCAACGTTAACAGTTTTTCCGCATAAGATTCATTAAGACGTTCTATTCCCTTTATCATCTCATACAGCATCTCGAGATTTACGTTCTCTGTCTCGTTGTTTTTTTATGCTAGCTTCACAAAGCCTGGTAATAGGCTATTTAACAAGGAAGAAGCTCTAGGTGTGCTGTATTTTTCGCATACAAATGAACCTTTAGGAGTACCAGCAGCCAGACAAGAAGCATGACATTTATTTTTACACGATCTACAATCAACGGATTTTTGCTGATGATCAATGTTTTTGGCACATTTAACACACTCCATTTTTTTAAATTAGTTGTTCATTTGTTTTTATACCCGTACGAACGTATGTTCGAAGGGTATACTAAATTTGCCTTACCGTTTGCAACGCTAAGAAATAACGGTCTTAGATATAGACTCAAGTGTATGTTTTTGATCAGCGCCAAATTCTGAGTAGATTTAGCTTTGTCCACCCGTCCGTCCGTCCGTCCGTCCATCCCAACGATAACTCAAAAACTAATAGAGCTAAGTTCACCAAATTTTCACAAATGATTTATTGTAGTAAGTGCCAGAACCCTATTTAAATTCGACGTGATCGGGGGTACCGGTTCGGGTAGCTGCAATACAACTTCAAAATTTTTTTGGCTATATCTCAGAAACTAAATGCTGTGGTATTGAAATTTCTCACAAGCAAATATATTAGTAGGGCCGATGTGCTTCATAAAATTCGTTATAATTTCTTGGCTCTTTCTGGTACCTTCATACAACTTCAATAGTAGTTTGACACACACAGTATTTTGAAAAACACATAGTACTGAAATTTTGCATACATTAATATAGTAATACGGCAACTTAAGGTCGTAGTCTTTCCCAAAGTCAGTTACGGCATCTTTATTCGCACATAGGATAACAAATTCGTAGGGGTATCACAGAGTTGAAAAGGTCAACTCTATTTTTTTATCGTTTTTGATTTAAAATTATAAATTTTCAATTGCTTCAAAGTAATAAAGTTATTTTTTATTGCGAAAGATTTTTTTTTTATTTTACTTAATTTATTTTATTTATTTGTTTTTTCTTTTTTTCTCTTTAATTGTTCAACTTCCTTTTTAAAGCTTTGTTTTTTATGAATTTCTTTTTTTTTTGCTTTCACCAAATTTTTGTCATTTCTTCGATACTTTTTATTGTTCACTCTACAATGAACAGAATAAGGAATCTTAAAATAGAGCTATTTCGGGGCTAAAAAGTTCCAATGTCAGATTTTTCTGGGACCCTGGAGGCAAAACTCTATTTAATGCCTTTTGTCCCATGTCTCTAGCCCTTCTAGAAGTACCCGTACTTTTTACCACCTGAGAAGTAGCTATATATATATAACTAGTCGTGTATTCTTGCATTACAAGCCTTGCAAGTATTATGCCTGCATTTTTGAAATTATGTTCCGTTCTCTGTGTCTGAGATATTTTAAGTTTACTTTTTTTCTTCAAAAACACACCCGTAATATTCATATAGATATGTTTTTCCCTAATATTTTATAATATAAAACTTAAAATAAGAAGTGGTCTAAAAACTAATTACGAAAAAGTACATAATTAAGCAAATATATAGTTGCTTTTTGATCAAATATCTTTTGAGTAACTTAGTTCAGAATCTCGCTTTGAATTATGTCGCATAAAATTGTAAAAATTATTGTCGCATAAAATACCTTTCACAATAAGCACTTTAAGCGATAAATTACTATTTGCGCAAAAGATAATTCGCTACTAAAATCCATGCACATATGTATTTGGAGTTTATAATACATGCGAATAAAACGCGTGACTGTAGAATGAGTTAACACCAATACTGACGCATATAGGGTAATACGTAGAGCAAACGATTTCTATGCAAAAAGTCCACGGTTCAAACCCTGAAAAATGCGATTTGCCAGATGAACTTTTTTTTATTGATAATTTTATTTTTTTTTAAATGAAATAAAAAAGCTTCGACCTTACAAATCAATATCATCGAGTTTCCGTTCCAAATATTTTTTTGTAAATACCCTACTTGTAAAAAGTTTAATGCAATAGAATAACATTTTCTTATAAAATTTTACCCTAAAAATATATTGTCAAGAAGTTTAATGTACACTTACATATGTTTTGCTTACTAATACATTTTGCAGCAGATCACGAAAAGAATACATAACTAAATGCGTACGTACATACTTATTATAAAACAATCTAGATTTTATTATCTCTTTAGGATTCTCTTAAGAAAGTGTTGACTTTTTGTTATAAATCACACTTCC